AGAGGGGGGTGACCGGAGGAGTTGAGAGGGGATAGGGTCCAGGGGGCAGGTAGTGAGGCGGGCTTCTGAGAAGACTCTGGTGACTTCCTCAGTGGTAGTAGGGCTGAAGGAGTGCAGTGATGGGGGGGTTACGGTAGGCAGGGCCTTGGGTGTGGTGGGGGGCAGTGCCGTTGCGAGGTCAGAGGAGGGGAGAGATGAGGAGGGTGATGGAAGGGGGGAGGCTAGATGGGGAGGTAGATTGCAAGTTGACTATGTCCTTGCGGATTGCGTCAATCTTGTTGTGGAGATGAGTGGCAATCTCGTGGGCGGTAAGTGAGGTACTGAGTGGAGGAGGGGGGGGGGGAGAGAGCAGGGAGTTGAAGGTGGAGAAGAGTCGGCGAGGGCAGGTGGAGAGGGTGTTGATCAGGTCAACGAAGTAGGCCTGCTTGGCGGCGTGGAGGGAGGAGGTGTAGGTGAGGAAGGCAGATTTGTAGAGGGAGAATGCATGAGGGGACCTGGTTTTGCGCCATAGTCTCTCCAGCGCACGACTGCGACGTTTGAGGCATTTAGTATGGTCGTTCTGCCATGGTTGGAGCGGTCTGGGTTTGATGTTGCGTGTGGTTAGGGGTGCCAGAGAGTCTAGGGTAGCTGATAGTGAGTCGTTGTACGGTGGTGGCTAGGTCAGGACATGACAGTGGAAGGATGCTGTCGTGTAAGCGGTCGGCAGCCGAGTGGAGGGGGGCCGGGTGCAGGTTGCGGAGGTTGGTGATGGTGATGGTTTGCGCACTGGGGGGGGGGGGGGGGGAGTTAGGGGAAGGGGAGATGGAGAACGTGAGGAGGTGGTGGTCGGAGAGAGGGAAGGGGGTGTTAGTGAAGTGGTTAAGGGTACAGAGGTGGGAGAAGACGAGGTCCAGGGTGTTCCCATTGATGTGGGTGGAGGATTGAGTGTGTTGTGTGAGCGCGAAGGAGGTGGTTAGGTGGAGGAGTTGGGAGGTAGCTGGGGTGTGTCGTTGATGGGGATGTTGAAGTCCCCGAGGATGATGGTCGGTAGCTCAGAGGAGAGGAAGAAGGGAAGCCAGGCGGCGAAGTCATCCAGGAAGCGGGCTATGGATCCGGGGGGCCTGTAGATCACTGCGATCCTTAGGGGGGTGGGTGAGAAGAGCCGGATGCAGTGAGCCTCGAAGGAGGAGAAGGTTAGGGAGGGGGGGGTTAGGGAGGACCTGGAAGGTGCTCAGCGGTGATAGGAGCAGGCCGACACCACCACCTTTGTGACCGCCCAGTCTTGGTGAATGGGACCAGATGAGACCTCCATGGGAGAGTGCCGCAGGGGAGGTAGAGTCGGTGGCCTGTACCCAGGTTTCGGTGATGGCTAGGAGGTTGAGGGAGCGGGAGATAAAGAGGTCATGGATGGCAGTTAGTTTGTTGCAAACCGAACGGGCGTTCAGAAGTGCAACCGAGAGAGGGGGGATGGATGCGGGGAGGAGGTGCACAGGTATGAGGTTGAGGGGGTTGCGGCGGCTGGCGGGAGCAGGGGGGTCCCTGGAGGGGGGGAGGGGGGGGAGAGAGGGGCCAGGGTTCGGGGAGATGTCCCCAGCGGATAGGAGAAGGAGAAGGGTGAGGAGGGTGGCATGGGAATGGGAGGTGCAGGAGCGTGTGGGTCTGGTAGTGGTGGCACGTGGGTCGACCGGGAGTGGAGTACCAGGAGGAGGTGGTGAGTGCCGTAGTGGGGAGAGGGCAGAAGTGAAGGGGCAATGTAGAGCTGTTTTGGGGGGGGGGGGGCGGGTAGAGGGAGGCGATTTTTGGGATGGAGGAGAGGAAAACGAGGAGGAGAAGTGCAGGTGGCATGCTGGGGTGAGTGCAGTGCTGTTCGGGTCAGGGAGGTGAAGGGATACGGGTCAGGGCGAGGTGATGTGGAGAGTCTGTATCACCGTGGAGGAGTCCACTAGAGTCCTTCTGTAGGGGGAGAGTGGGAGTAAAGTCCAGCAGCTGGCTGGCTGCAATCTGTGGGTGCAGTATGCTGGCGTCCGAGGGGTCTTCAGTGGGTCCGGTGGATCGGCGAGTGGAGGGGACGTAGGGTGCGATGTCTGGGGGCGTTGGTAGGCACGGCGCCTGGTGATGCTGGCGGCTCGGTGACTGGAGATTCGCTGGGTGGTCCGGGAGATTCGCTGGGCGACGTCTCGATTCGCTGGGTGGTCCGGGTGTTGGGTGTCCAGAGGTGGTCCAGGGTGGTAGCTGGGTGCTGGGTGTCCCAGGGGTGGTAGCTGGGAGCTGGTAGCTGGGTGCTGGGTGTCCAGGGGTGGTAGTTGGGTGCCCGGTAGCTGGGTGCTGGGTGTCCAGGGGTGTTAGCTGGGAGCTTAGACTTCGAGTTGCCAAGCAAAAGCCAAGAAACGGGAAGGACGGGAGAATCCTCATCAACAATGCATTGCAATATCTGGAACGGCATTAAAGACCCATGGTTTTTCGGAATCCCCTCGATGCAGGTAGCAAAGGTGCGGCGTTGTCCTGGAAAGGTCCCTGGTCTGGGGCTGGCTGGTGCAGGGCGGCCCGCAGGGTGCTGGGAGGCCTGAAGCAGTTCCCAGGCAGGGTCGCCGGGTGCGAGCAGCTGGGTGGGTGCCCCGAGGTGGCGGGCTGGGTGCCTGCGGCTGGTGGACGCGGGCGGTCTGGGGTGGTCCCAGAGCTAGTAGGGAGGGCTCCAGGGAGACCGTGAGTCCGTGCCGGTTCCTGGTGGTCCAGGGTGATCAGCGAGGACCCAGGGCTGATGGGGAGGGCCCTGGCAGGCAGGCAGGTTGGCGGGACCCGGTGGGCAGAGTGGTGACGGTCCGGGTAGATGTCCGGCGATCCAGTCCGATCGCGGCTCGGCCGCGGCCAAAATCGAGGCCGCGGCTTCGGGTGCGCGGGTAGGCCGCGATTCCCGGAGCTCCGGGAAAAGGTCCAGAAGTGGTCCCTGGTGGTCAGGCTGGGCCGGGAGTGTCTTAGGGGCCCGCTGGGGTCCGCTGCGGCCCGGATGGCAGCGGATTGGGGCTAGGAGCGCAGGAGCTCCTAAAGCATGTCCGCTCCCACCGCCATCTTGTCTGGATATTAACCTGGTTTACACTGTGCGGGCTGGTTGCGGGTATCACATCTGTTCCAGAACCGGAATCAAACTGCTCTTACGAGATGTTTAGGGTTGCCATTCATTCTGAATGGCAATCCTACACATCTCAGTACACAGCGTGTTTGCGGGTACAGGAACCACAGGGAAATCGCATCATCAAAAAGATCATGTGATTTCCCTGTGGCCACATTTTTAAAAAGGTGCAAGCACCTTTTTTTTGCCAAAAACGCAGGCTCGGCAGCCCATTCAAATGAAAGGGCTGCCGTGCCCACGCAAAGGCAGGCAGCATGGCCCACACAAGTGTGAAAAAAGCCTTAAAACAACCTTACTGAGTAAACAGTCTTCTTTCAGCACATCAGAGATACTGGTTCCCATTAAAAAAAAAAAAAAAAACAAGAACTATCATTTCACCTGCAGCCTGGACAGAAGGCTACATAATCTCACTAAAAAAAAATAATTTATATTTACCAGACTAAAAAAATTATTTTAGCTCTGACCATAGTAAAGAAAATATGTACAAAACTACTAAATACTACCAATAAAATGAGGCCTGCATGTATATAAGAAATGTTTAGCAAAGCAGTGTATTCCTGTTCATTGGCGATCAGACCATATTCCCACCGTGCGTGAGTGGATTCTTAGGATCAATAGGATCGCGGAAATGGAGGAGCTGATCTCAGTGGCAAAAGAACACCCCGAGCGATTCAGGAAGACTTGGGCTTGTTGGACTCATTTCCAATCTACTGATACTTATCATGGCTTAATGAAGGAATGAGCGAGAAAGATTTGGAGACACGAAAAGCCTCTAGCACTTTCACCTCAGGAATAACTCCATTAATGGACTTTCACTGAATTTTATTCCTAATTATAGATAGAATCTGTTACAGCTTGGCCGATGCCAATTGATGTGCTTGGTTTGGTTATGCCTATTTAATTCTAAACCTCATCCTCCCCACCCCCCCCCCTTTTTTTTTTTTCTCCCCATCTTCCCTATCTATTTGTCCTCTATGTTCCGCCCCACCTCATTATGATATTACCTTTCATATTCTTCCTCCATTCCCACGCTCGTCTCTTTCTTTTCTTTTCTTTCTCTCTTTTGCACCCCCCTTTCTCATATTCTAAATAGCTATATTTTTCATAAGGTACGGAACACTCATAGATGTACAGGTGAAACAATAATCCACAAAAACTAACCCACACTTTTCGGATATGGAAACATAGGACATATATGCCTTGAGATGATACTTTTGTCTTACACTTCATAGTCCTGTTATTTGAGCTCTCCCTACATAGAGACTTGTGTATACCGTATTTATCTAAATTACATATTGTTATCAGTTGTGCTATGGTTATACATTTTGCATCTGCCTTACTGTGGGACTTTGTTTCATGATGATATACAATTTAATCGAATGTCCTGATCCCGTCTGCGTTACGGAGAACATGTAAGAGGATGTGCACGGACTGCGATCCGTATCTGTCTATGACTTGTTTTGCCTTTCTTACTTCAATAAAACTTTTTTGGGAAAAAAAAAAAAAAAAAAATGTTTAGATTTTTTTTTAAAAAAAAGCGTTTTTAGTTTAGTTTTTCTAGAAAAGTCTGAAAAGTGAAGAATATAAAAGCTTAACCCCTTCCCGCTGTCGCCTCCCATCCTTTAACAGGATCTAAATGCAGAGGCAGACATTCTGATCACTTAACTGTTGTGACTGGAAGTCACAATGCTCCCAATCTTAAGTATGCATCTGAAGCTTTCTGTCATCCAATCTTTACTGTGCTGCAAGCGTGCTCTCAGCACAGAAATGCGTTTACCTAGGGATGCATATCTGTGGCTGCTCTGCATTAAAGCCCACCCACCAAGAGGCCAAAGATATGCGCCAGGTCAGCAAGAAGTGGTTAATTACAAAAAACAAGTAAGCCTGTGATATATTAGTATAATTGATCCTGGGTTAACTTACCCATCAGCCTCCAACTTCTTTCGTTTTTCAATGATCTAAAGAACATAAAAATTAAAAAGTGTATAAATGTTAGATGTGAACAATTTGAAACTCTTAAGCTGGCCATACATGTATAGATTTTCGTTCCAGAATTTTTGTTTCAAGAATATTCTTTTGATTTTCCGTGGGGTCAAATCGATTTTTGTTTTCAACAGCAGTGACGGGAAAATTCGAAGGGGTAGGAAGGAAAACTTTTCTTGATCAAATTAATTTTCGGCCTGTATATGTGGTTATCGTTCAGAAATTACATTCATTTTAAACGTGAATGTTAAAAGCAAGATAATTTTTGAACAACATTCGTCCATTCACAGAATGTTCAAAGAATTTTCGTACGACTTTTTGTACGAATATTCTCGTCCAAAAATCTACACGTGTATTGCCAGCTTTAGGCTGGCTTCACTTGGGTGCTGCATACATATCAGCCTATGTTTTCAGGGCAGTGTTCTGCTGTCAATCAAATCACTCTTCTGGCATTGGAGTCTGCCATGGGAAGCAATGTAATGCATAAATTTTGAATAATGAATAAAACAAACCTTTACTGCAGGCAGGCCATTACAAATAGGGTAAATAAAAAAAATGAGGAATATTTTGAGGCTAAAAATTACATAAATTTGTGAAATGAAGAAAAAAAACAAACAAAAAAAAACCCAAAATATTCTCTTACCTCAGGCATGTGTGGGGATATGCAATTCATAATCTGCTTTTAAGTATGCATGTGTGTCTTGACTAGGTTTACAAGTATGTGTGTTTCTTGATTTTTTTCCCCCTTCTTCAGATAATAATGTTTACTAGTTTGTTTTCCATTTACTAATATTGCAAGGATGCCAAAAAGCACTTCTGGATTAATTCTTTGCATAAGGGGAGCCGAGTCAGGAATGAACAATCATGATCTGCTCCCCTTGGCCAACTTGGATGGTTCCACAATGGGCCCAGGCTTACCTAGGAGAGCCCAGGGACAAGGAAGCCCACACTGCCGCCCAGCCATTCACAGGCAGAAGTGATCATATGACTGCACAGGGTTTGTTTTTATGCTTTCACTGCACTGCCATTACACAGGTACACCAGTGGCTATGCATAGATTATTCAGGTCCATGGTTTTATCAGTAACCACTCAAAGTGGTAGGAAGAATTTAAAGTGGTTCTAAAAGCTGAAAGTTTTTTTTTTATCTTAACTACTTCCTCTCCACTCTATAGCAGAAATACTACTATGGGGTGGCACGGGTGCACAAAATCATGTACATATACACGTGATTTTGCAGTTCTGGTTAAGGGGCACACGCGAGTGACGCGCCCTACCTTTGTCGCCAATCTCGACCTCGGCTATCAATCACCGAGTCCTGGCCGGTGATTGCCGAGTATCCCCCACGGAGGAGAGACCTATATGTAAACAATACAGTTCTCTCCCCTGTCAACTCCAGCACACTACTTTGTATGGCTCTGCATAGAGAGCCATACAAAGCAGTGTGCTTACAGTGAAACACAGACACAGCCCACATGGTAAAACTGCAAACAGTTAACCCTTTGATTGCTTCACATTAACCCCTTCCTGCCCAGTGCCATTAGTATTGTGTCAGCGCTTTTTATTAGCACTGATCACTGTATTGGTATCGATGGACATGTCAGTGAAACCAAGTCAGTTCCCCCCAGTGTCAGAATGCCCGCCGCAGTCCCGCTATAAGTTGCTGATCGCCGCCATTAGTAGTAAAAAAAAAAAAAATTCCAGTATCTATACCGCCATTTGTAAACGCTTTAACTTTCATGTAAACCAATTAATATACACGTATTGGGATTTTGTTTTAGCAAAGACATGTTAAAAATCTAATTTTGTCATAAATTTAGGCCAAAATGTATTCTGCTACATTTTTTTACTGGACATGTTTAATAGCAAAAAGTCAAAAATATTGTTTTTTTTTTCTCAAAATTGTCGGCCTTTTTTTGTTTATAGCGGAAAAATAAAAAACGCACAGGCGATAAAATACCACCGAAAGAAAGCTCTATTTGTGGGGAAAAAAAAAAAGGACCTAAATTTCATTTAACTGCAGCGTTGCATGACTGCGCAATTGTCAATTAAAGTAATGTGGCGCCGTATCGCAAAAAATGGCTGGTTAGGAAGGGGGGGTAAATCCTCTGGCAAGCGGTTAATGCATTCTGTGCATTAAAGTATAAGTAAAGTAAACATTTTTTTTTAAGTTTTGAACAGAGTGCAGAGATTAGAACACCTGTTTTTATTGCTGTCTGTGCCTGCGTTAGGGAGCTTCACCCTCTCTATTTGTCCAGTTTCCCATTACCATTGAAAGTAAAAGAAAAACCCAAGGTTTGTGTTTGTCCCAAGAAACCTTCCAATATGGACACTAGTTCTGGTGACCTAGGGGGTCCCCCCTCAAGGAATTACCTAACTTTGCATACATTTCCTCTCAATTCTTGTCTCTGAGACAGCAAGTGAAGAGAAATCTCTGCAATGATACACAGATGGCAAAAAAAGCTGACAGGGGATATAACCCTCATTGGCTCTATCCAAAATGAAAAAAAAAAAAAAAAAAAACGTTTTGCCTATAATTCCACCTTAAGGTAAGAACCTGCATGCAGCCCCCCTTAATCTTATCTGAGCCTGATCTCAATCCAGCACTGTGCACAAGAGCAGACGCTCTCTCTGCTCTCTCCCTCCTCACTGGCTCAGAGACAGCAGTGAGAGCCACTTGAGCCAGGAGCACCGGCAGGGGACCCAAGAGGAGGAGGATCAGAGCTGCTGTGTGCAAAACCCTTGCGCAGAGCAGGTCAGTATGACATGTTTGTTATTAAAAAAAAAAAAATAATTAAAATTTGAGCTTTTATAAAGACTTTAAATACATAGTCCTCTAGAAAGCAGATTTGAATTAGCTACAAATAAAATCAATATGAATTCTGCTTGCAGTGTATTTGTGTGCAATAGTATCTCTGTGTTTTTACAACACGAATAAGCACAAGCATTCAGAATTAGAAGCAGCATTAGTCTTACCGCACTGATCTTTTTCCACTGTCTGTCAAGTTCTGCTTTCTCATTAGTCTCCTTGAATCTTCGTGTTTTACGCCCCTCTGACATTTTAATACCATACTGAAAGGCAGCTCTGTGTAAAATAATGTGCAAAATGTAAAATCGGTGACTACAGCAAACCATGGTACAAACTCTCTCCTCAACTATTCAGTGATATTCCCCTTCAAGGCCATATACTGGGACAGAAACTCTGATTTCATTTTGAGTTGCCCACTGCATACATGCTCCAGGCCACGGATTCTGAAAGTATTAAAGCCAGAGACAGCAATGCAACCAATATACTGTATTTTAGCAATAATGCAAACAGGCCAAGCTCAGTCTTTCCTTACCTTTCCAATTTTGCCTGCTTAATGGGGTTATATATATTTTCCTATGAGCAGTCCACTAGATAGATCAGGACACAGAAACCTGTCATATGACCTCTAGTTCAGACATGTTGGATAGCTCTGTAGCATTTGGCTAGTTTAAAGGAGAAGTTTACACTTCTGGAGAATGTTAAACATTACACCCATATTTAGAGTGTAACGTGCTCTAGCACATGTCATGCTCAACCCCCAAATTGCCCCAGTGACAGTGGGTGGGGGATCCTCTCCCCGCATAGTTGTCACAATTTAAAAACAAAAATCTGTGAATGAGAGAACTACAAGTCCCATCTGCCACCGTGGCAGACAGCTTGTTGTTTTGAATGAACTGTGAGAGCTTTGATGAGTGCCCTTGTAGTTCATTCACAAGCCCTGCAGCTTGCAAAGTGACAAAAACCTGAGTCCAGTTCTATAATGCATTCACAGTTTTAAAACTTATATACTTACTTGGGAAGAGCTTCTTTGTTGTTCATATATTCACTGTATTCTTCTTGTGTATCAAAGTCCCACCGTCCCAAAGGACCCTTCTTATTACCCTGAACCAAGGATATAATGATAGAGTTTGAGTACAGTGTCATATCATATGCACCATTGTATCCAACACAATATTAAAAAAAATTGAACAGATAGACTTTCCACAAAGTTTAGATCAGGGGTAGGCAACCTTTGAGAGGTGGAGCTACCGGAACAACATCAAAGAGAACAAAGATCACTGGGGTTCGACTGGCTTTTTCTTTTCTTCTAATTAACTAGCAAGGCCTAACTAAATAGTAAAGACGACACAAGGAAAAAAACTGTATAATAAAAAATGTCACTGTAAAAATATAAACTTAGCCTTAAAAACTTAGGGAGGGGACAGTCAGTACGGCAGAGGATGGTGACAGTCAGTACGGCAGAGGATGGTGACAGTCAGTAGTGCAGAGAATGGTGACAGTTAGTAGGGCTGTAGATAAGGTCAGTTAGTAGGGGCAGTGGATGGTGACAATTAGTAGTGCACAGTTAGAAGGGCAGAGGATGTTAGATAAGGTCAGTCAGTAGGGCAGAGGATGGCGACAGTTAGAAGGGCAGAGGATGGCGACAGTTAGAAGGGCAGAGGATGGCGACAGTTAGAAGGGCAGAGGATGGCGACAGTTAGAGGGCAGAGGATGGCGACAGTTAGAAGGCGGGATGGCGACAGTTAGAAGGGCAAGGATGGCGACAGTTAGTAGGGCAGAGGATGGCGACAGTTAGAAGGGCAGAGGATGGCGACAGTTAGAAGGGCAGAGGATGGCGACAGTTAGAAGGGCAGAGGATGGCGACAGTTAGAAGGGCAGAGGATGGCGACAGTTAGAAGGGCAGAGGATGGCGACAGTTAGAAGGGCAGAGGATGGCGACAGTTAGAAGGGCAGAGGATGGCGACAGTTAGAAGGGCAGAGGATGGCGACAGTTAGAAGGGCAGAGGATGGCGACAGTTAGAAGGGCAGAGGATGGGACAGTTAGAAGGGCAGAGAGGATGGCGACAGTTAGAAGGGCAGAGGAGAGGCATGGCGACAGTAGAAGGGCAGAGGATGGCGACAGTTAGAAGGGCAGAGACAGATGGCGACAGTTAGAAGGGCAGAGGATGGCGACAGTTAGAAGGGCAGAGGATGGTGATGGCGACAGTTAGAAGGGCAGAGGATGGCGACAGTTAGAAGGGCAGAGGATGGCGACAGTTAGAAGGGCAGAGGATGGCGACAGTTAGAAGGGCAGAGGATGGCGACAGTTAGGAGAGGATGGTGACGACAGTTAGAAGGGCAGAGGATGGCGACAGTTAGAAGGGCAGAGGATGGCGACAGTTAGAAGGGCAGAGGATGGCGACAGTTAGAAGGGCAGAGGATGGCGACAGTTAGAAGGGCAGAGGATGGCGACAGTTAGAAGGGCAGAGGATGGCGACAGTTAGAAGGGCAGAGGATGGTGACAGACAGAAAGGCAGAGGATGGTGACAGTCAGTAATGCAGAGGATAAGGTCAGTCAGTAAGGCAGTGGATGTTGACAGTAGCGCAGAGGATGGTGACAGTTAGTAGGGCAGAGGATGGTGACAGAAGGGCAGAGGATGGTGACAGTTAGTAGGGCTGTAGATAAGGTCAGTCAATAGGGCAGTGGATGCTGACAGTTAGTAGGGCAGAGGATGCTGAAAGTCAGCAGCGCAGAGGAGGATGGTGACAGTCAGCAGGGCAGAGGATGGTGACAGTCAGCAGGGCACAGGATGGTGACAGTCAGCAGGGCACAGGATGGTGACAGTCAGCAGGGCACAGGATGGTGACAGTCAGCAGGGCACAGGGATGGTGACAGTCAGCAGGGCACAGGATGGTGACAGTCAGCAGGGCAGAGGGATGGTGACAGTCAGCAGGGCAGAGGATGGTGACAGTCAGCAGCAGGCAGAGGATGGTGACAGTCAGTAGGGCAGAGGATGGTGACAGTCAGTAGGGCAGAGGACGGTGACAGTCAGTAGCGCAGAGGATGGTTACAGTCAGCAGCGCAGAGGATGGTAATAGCCAGTAGCGCAGAGGATAGTGACAGTCAGTAGCGCAGAGGATGGTGACAGTCAGTAGGGCAGAGGATGGTGACAGTCAGTAGGGCAGAGGATGGTGACAGTCAGTAGGGCAGAGGATGGTGACAGTCAGTAGGGCAGCAGGGATAAGGCCAGTCCACAGGGCAGTGGATAAGATCAGTCAGCAGGGCAGTGGATAAGGCCAGTCAGCAGGGCAGTGGATGGTGACAGTCAGTAGGGCTGTGGATGGTGACAGTCAGTAGGGCTGTGGATAGTGACAGTTAGTAGGGCAGAGGAAGAAGTCAGTCAGTAGAGCAGTATTGTGTGTACAGGGGCTCAAAGAAGAGTAGAACCTTTCCTCAAAGAGAAGAGAAGCGCTGGCAGAGAAGGGAAGAGCTAGTGACACAAGACTCTTCTTTCTCCTGGCGTGCTGACCCCAGCCAGCTATCCTCCCTCATCCATACCATGTGATGTCACACATAGGTGCCTGGGGTGGATGTGAGAGAAGAAGAAGAAAGAACAAACAGAGGGCGCACAGGCCTAGTGCATTACCATAAAAAAAGTTTATTAAAAAATAAAGTATGTGTTGTACTCACAAACGAGTACAACACATACTTTATTTTTTATTAAACATTTTTTATGGTAATGCACTAGGCCTGTGCGCCCTCTGTTTGTTCTTTCCTCATTCAGTATATTTGGATTTTCCCGGTCCATTTGAGGGCAGCAAGGTGTGCATGTTCCAGGACATTCCTAATGTGGTTGTAGCCTGCATCGAGTCCATCCCCAAGTGCAGGAGCATTTGTGTTTGCTGGATGTGAGAGAAGGGCTGGCTGTGTTCAGCGCAGCATACAAGGTAGTTCCTCCCTGCGCCGCTCTGCAATGTGGGAGAAGCAGTTTGGGGGGCCGACAAAGCAGGATTGCTGATCTACCTGTCACCTGCACATGATCGACGGATAGATTACAAACGATGGGTTGCCGACACCTGATATAGATGCTGTTGTGCATCTATATGGGCACAATAGCATCTTTATGCTATTACGCTCATATAGATGCTATTGTGCATATAAATGCTACGGTGTCTTGTTGCCAAGTATAAGACACTGCCCTTGCACCACTGCTACTGTTGTGGATCCCACAGCTATCAGGGATAAGGGAAAAGAGCTATTGGTATCACTCCGCCTGACCATCCTGCTGGAACTTTAGACCAGGAATCAGCTCATGCAGCTGGCTGAGGCTTCTACAAAACTGCTGCCTTGGTGGTCCTGGTCCCTCCACATCCAGCATGGTGCCTGGAAGTAGTTCCTCAGCTTTCCATGCATCTTCATCCATGCATCATCCATCCATCCACATGACAAAAGGTCGTCAAACCGAGCAAATCTACCAGTCACCTGCTGCGTTTGACTATTAGATTGCGGTCCACGGGTTGCCAACCCGGGGTTTAGATATATTTAACATAACCAAAAGGAAAGAAATTTTAGTGCATCAAAACACACAATGACCCTTTGCATTTAAACAGAAGTTTGCACTCACTGGCTTGTTATTTATCTCCAGCAACTATGATGCATTTGGTAAATTATCATGCAACAGCAATAATGCAACAAGCATCGAATGCTAGCCACCTTCACCTTTTCCTATGGGCAGTCCACTAGACAGCAAGCTATGGAATATTTCAGCTTCATGTGCCCGCTAGCGAACACAAAGCAGTTAAAACACACCTGATCCATTTTACTGTAATCCACTTCTTCATCACTGTCAACTGCCATATCATCCATGCTGAGGAGATACAAAATTGAAGCATGTTGTTAATCATTTTATATAAAAGAACATGAACTCAGAAGCAAAACTACCTTCAGAAACTTAGCAGGCGACAGGTTATTTTGAAAAGCAACAGGTTGTTGTAAACTAGATGACATATGATAGATCTATTTCTAAAGACTATGGGGGAGATTTACTAATACAGGAGAATGCAAGATCTGGTGCAGCTCTGCATAGAAACCAATCAGTTTCCAGGTTTTATTACCAAAGCTTAAATGAACAACATGAAGTAAGAAGCTGATTGGCCACCATGCACAGCTGCACCAGATTCTCAGTTCTCCAGTTTTGATAAATCCCTCCTTATATTTTCAATCTACTGAGCAAGCCAATAAATGGCATCATAGGCTTACACATAACAATACTTGCAGCTTTTGTTTTAAATGTAGAATATGTAAACCTAACCCTCCACCACACACACGTCTGCTCTCTTCCCCTTCTTGTTCCTGACCCGGAAAGTGACCTGTATGACGTCACTTCCAGGTCCCCACTAACAGGGGAGGCCACCGAGACCAGGAAAGAATGTAATGCAGTGCAATCTGCACTGCATTACATTCAGAGGAGCACAGGGGAAACTTGTAAGGTTTCATTAACCACTTCAATACCAGGCACTTTTACCCCTTTCCCGGCCAGGCCAATTTTCAGGTTTCAGCGCTTTCACATTTTGAATGGCAATTGCGGTCATGCAACACTGTACCCAAACTAAAATTTTATCATTTTGTTCACACAACTAGAGCTTTCTTTTGGTGGTATTTAATCACCACTGGGGTTTTTAGTGTTTGCTAAAATAACAAAAAAAGACCGAAAATTTAAAAAACAAAAACTTTTTCTTTGTTTCTGTGATAAAAGTTTGCAAATAAATAATTGTTCTTCATAAATTTAGGCCGAGATGTATTATGCTACATTTCTTTGGTGAAAATAACCTAAATCAGTATTTATTTAGTCTGTGGGAAAGTTATAGAGTTCACAAACTATGGGATATATCTGAAAATTGATCAATCCTGAAGTACTGACAGCCAATCTAATTTCTCGAGGCCCAAAGATGTCAAAACAGAACAGATATCCCCCAAATGACCCCTTTTTGTAAGTAGACAGTCCCACTTATTTTATAAGAGGCATGGCGAGTTTTTTGAAGTTGTAATTTTTTTGTCATAATTTTTTTAAAGATGAATTTAAAAAAAAATTATTATTTTTTTTTACATACTGTCACCAGTGCAGTACAGCATCAGCATATAACTGGTGTGGCGGTGATCAGGGAAACTGACTGGTGACAGTACAAAAAAAATAAATAAATAATAATTTACTACATTTTTTCTCTTTTTTAAAGATTTTTTTTTTTCATATTGCACTATGACCAAAGTAGTATAATGTTACCGTAGTAACATTGTACTACTTTGGGGAAGTGATCAGTATTCATTTATTTATTTTACACAATTTGATTGCTTATAGCAATACCACTGCGCTGTTGAGAGCTCTGGTAGATCATTGAATCTGTCAGTGTGAAACTGCCTGCCCGTATTATGAACAAGCAGACAGAATACAATGACAGACTGCAGGAGTCCTGCATTACCCCCACAATCTGCTAATCGCTGATGCAATGCTTTCTAGTAATAGTAAAAAAAAAAAAAAAAAAAAAAAAGTGAATGCACACTTTTTTACCTGCAAAAGATTTGCATTTATTTTTTTAAAGCTGAACGTATCCTTTAACAGAGCAGACACTGGAGGTTGGTTTAGCTGCTCAGCATGTGCTTGTACTGAGCACCCAAGTACTTCCCTGTGCAAAGGTAACCTGAAGAAATAAAGTTTTTTTTTTTTTGTTTCTTATTTCCGTCATTGGGGCTGGCGCCGCATTTACTTGCTCAGCAGATGCACTTCTGCTGAGCGTTAAAAAGCCCGATATCCCCCTTTCCTGATGAGCACCCAATTGGTGCTCATTACACTGCAAGCTCTTCCCCTCCCTGCTAGTCCCCGGGTGCAGGCAGGGAGGGGAAGAGGAGATAAAAAACACAATGTTAAAAATATTAAAAGTTGAAGTCGCCAAAAAGCCCTTTTCATCTTTAAAAGCGCCATATGTTCCTAAAAGCACCTCAGATTTAAACACAATTTTAGTTAAAATTATTATTTTCTTTATCAGGACAAGTAGATTGGGACCCCGAACCAGACCCTTGGACAAGTAGTTATTTTTTTTAAAATTTCCACACCCCTGTGATGTGTGCCTACTGTACCATGTACTTGTACAAAAAGTATCCTGTTCTCTTTGTATTGCTTCCTTTGTGTGAAATCTCTGGTGTTCCTGACAGTCGTTCTGCTTTCCTATTAAAAACTGAACACACCAAGCAGGAGAACATACCGCGGTCAGTTATCTAGTTGTGCTGGGAACACACTGTGCTCTCCTTCGATGATCAGATTTGTCTTGGCACACCCCAGTGTCTGCTGTTTCTCCTCCCCTAGCTCCTGCTGCAGCTGAGTACATAGTTAATGTGATCACTTATAAAAAAGGGAAAAATGTTTTGTTTCTTATATCTATAACACAATTGTTTTGCCTTTAATTTCTATTTTAAACTGAATGGGTTGTTTTACAAGGTAAGCATTTACAATCACTTTAAGTGTCTGAAAGAAAGGATGATGTGGATCCAGTTGAGATGTGATTCCAACAAGGAAAGATTTTCATTCTCAACCACTTTCCAACTGCGCTATGGCTGAATGACGGCTACAGCGTGGTTGTCTAGTCCTGGGACGGCGTCATATGACATCCTCCCAGAACACACCCTCCTGCCCGCCGCCGGGTGCGCTCACCCGGCAATCTCCGTGATCGCTGTGTCCTACAGACACAGCTGATCACGTGATGTAGTAAAAGGCCAACCAGAGCGGCTTTTTACCTTGTAATCAGCTGTGTCCAATGACACAGCAGATCACCGGTAAATGCAGTGCCGGTTATTGGCTGCACTTTCCTCATGCTGTCACAGCGTGAGAACATTACTGTTGATAACAGGCAATTGTCAGAGGACAGATCGGCACCAATCATCAGGGCACTGATGATCAGTGCCCAGCAGTGCCACCCACCAGTGCCCCCATAAGTGCCCAGCAGTGCCACCAGTGCCCAGCAGTGCCCCAGCAGTGCCCAGCTCCATATCAGAGCTGCCTATCCGTACCACCTCATCAATGCCGCCTATCAGTGCTCATCAGTGCAGCCTCATCAACGCCCATCAGTGAAGGAGAAAAAATTACCTGTTTGCAATATTTTATAATAGAAAAAAAACTTTTTTTTTTTGCTCTTTTTTTGTTTATAGTGCAAAAAATAAAACACCCAGTGGCGAAAAAAAATTTCATATGGGTACAGTGTTGCACGAACGTGCAATTGTCAAAGTGTGACAGTGCTGAAAGCTAAAAATTGGCCTGGGCAGGAAGGGGGTATAAGTGCCCGGCAGGCAAGTGGTTTTTATTAGAGGACATCCCATGTTAGAAGTCTAAATATCTACAGACCATTTTATAGCCAGCAAACATTGTATATGTTGTCTGTGCAGCATAAAAATTTATTTCTGTGATGAATTACAGTAACATTTACCAAATCACCAGGATCCTATGATGAAATAGGTAGTACTTACGTTGCAGGATAACACTCTGCATAGCTATTCCACATGCCAAAGAAATCCCCAACCTGCTTCTTATCTTCATGTTTCTTTACTGTTTTCAGCTGTTAAGGACTTTTTTGTAAAACGTTCTTTCACTTTACCCATCAAAAAATGTTATTGCAACTCATAATATGCTATAGCAAATTGACGACTTCTTAAAAAAATTACATCTATTCCATAAAGTTAGTACTCAAGTTAGTCATTACATGTATTTTAAATTCAGCTTGCAAATAAAAGTGCATAAATAAAACTGCATAAATATATTAACTTCCCCTACACACCAGGACTCAGACAGAGAGGAGCAGCAGCACAGGGTGCCAAGCTAACTCTGGAATATTTTAGACAAAGATAAGAGTGGCATGCACATCAGTGCAGTGACATTTCCTTCTTAATTCCACAAAACTCTGCAATGTGTTTGTGGTACCATTCACACAGCATATCTAAAAAAACTGTATTAATTATGTTTTAGTGGTTTCTTAGGAGAAGGTGTCATGGCTGCCTACATACATCTCTGAACAAGTAAAATGAAAAAATTACTTTTTTTTTTTTTATTGTGGAATATGTAACATGTTCCAGCTCCTGCATCTTCTCTGCTCAATCCCCCTCTCTGATGACAACAGGTGGGGAATCTTCTCCCTGCACCGACTGTCACAATTTAACCACTTGCCATCCTGAGGATTTACCCCCCTTAATGACCAGGCCTCTTTTTGCTATTCAGCGCTACACTATTTCAACTGATAATTGTACGGTCATGCAATGATCCACCCAAACAAAATTTACGCTCTTTTTTTCACAGAAATAGAGCTTTCTTTCGGTGGTATTTGATCACCTGTGCGCTTTTTATTTTCCGCTCTATGAACAAAAAAAGACCGACAATTTTGAAGAAAAACGATATTTTTTACTTTCTGCTATAAAAAATATATAGTAAACTCAAAGTTATTCATAAATTTAGGCCAAAATGTATTCTGCTACATGTTTTTGGTAAAAAAAATCCCAATACGTGTATATTGATTTGTGTGAAAGTTATAGTGTACAAAACTATGGTATAGATACAGCAATTTACGCCATTATTTTTTGCTATACAGCGCTGCACTAATTTATATACTGACAATTGCGCAGTCATGCAATAGGTACATAAATGAAATTTATGTCCTTTTGTGTCACACACAATAGTAGAGCTTTCTTTTGTGGTACTAGATCACCTGTGCGCTTTTTATTTTTGGCGCTATAAACAAACCTTTTTGAAAAAAAAAACAAAAAAAATTACATTTTCTCATTTCTGGCATAAAAAATATCCAAAAAAACCCGAAAATTTCATCATAAGTTTTAGGTCAAAATGTATTTTGCTACATGTTTTTGATTAAATAATCCCCCATATAAGTGCATATTGATTGTTTTTTGTGTGAAAGTTATAGCGTCTACAAACTATGGTATAGATCAGTGGTTCTTAACCTTTTTGGAGGTACTGAACCCCACCAGTTTCATATGCGCATTCACCGAACCCTTCTAATTGGAAAAATAAAATATGATTTTTAAAATTCAAAACATAGGTATAATTTATACGTAGGTGCACAAAATGAACAAAACCATTAAGAACAAAGAACAAAACCATTAAAACATGATAGTATTCACACAAAAACAAAATAATGAATATTTACCGCAAATCAGTGTGACTTCTGCTGTTGTCTTTCAGAGGCCAGTTCAGAAATGCGCGGCATTACCTTGGCAAGTGCCACTCTCATGTCATTTTCGCAACAAAGTCTGTTCCTTTTCTTCGTCTTTATGTCCAGCATCCTCGAAAAGGATTGCTCGCAAAGATATGTTGTAACAAACGGTATGAAAATTCATCCCCCATATAGTAATTCATCCCCCATATAGTAATTCATCCCCCATATAGTAATTCATCCCCCCATATAGTAATTCATCCCCCCTATAGTAATTCCTTCCCCATATAGTAATTCATCCCCCATATAGTAATTCATCCCCCATAGTAATTCATCCCCCATATAGTAATTCATCCCCCATATAGTAATACATCCCCCATATAGTAATACATCCCCCATATAGTAATACATCCCCCCCATATAGTAATTCATCCCCCATATAGTCATTCATCCCCCATATAATAATTCATCCCCCATATAGTAATACATCCCCCATATAGTAATTCATCCCCCCATATAGTAATTCATCCCCCATATAGTAATACATCCCCCATATAGTAATACATCCCCCATATAGTAATACATCCCCCATATAGTAATACATCCCCCATATAGTATTTCATCCCCTATATAATAATTCATCCCCCATATAGTAATTCATCCCCCATATAGTAATTCATCCCCCCTATAGTAATTCATTCCCCATATTAATTCATCCCCCATATTAAGTCCCCAAGTCCCCCGGATGTGTCAATTCACTTACCTTTGCTCCGCGCGTTCCTCTCGCTGTATTCCCGCGCCGTTCCGGTCTTCAGGACGGACTGTGAGAGGAGCCTAGCTCCTCTCACGTTCGTCACGCTGCCCCGCCTACACACATCCTGACAGCCAATCACTGGCTATCAGGATGTGAGTGGCAGCGAGACTGGCCAATCATTGCATTTGAGTCCCTGCCGCCCGAGAAGGAGGGAGGGGAGCGGGCGCCCGGCACACAAGAGCCGCGGCTTGCCGACCACTGGGCTAAGCGATGTTGCGTGACCACCTGCAGCCAATGATGGACAAGCGGGGCATGTCATCACAAAGGTCATATGAGTCGGGTGTGGGTCACCTCCGCCGAACCCCCGAGACTGACTCACCGAACCCCTGGGGTTCGATCGAACCCAGGTTAAGAACCACTGGTATAGATAATGGAATTTACACAGCTTTTACTTGTTTGTTTCTTGAGGTGCTAAAATACCAGAACAGTACAAACACCCCCAAATGAACCCTTTTCGGAAAGTAGACACCCTAAGCTATCTGCTGAAAGTTATATTGAGCCCATGGAAGATTTATTGTTTTTCCACAATTTTTGGGAAATTTTTTTTTTTTTTTTTTTTTAAACAAAGTTGTCATTTAAATTATATGTTTCTCACACATGCCATGGGTATATGTGGAATTACACCCCAAAAATACATTCAGCTACTTCTTCCGAGTATGGGGATTCCACGTGTTAGACTTTTTGGGAGCCTAGCCACATACAGAAGCCTGAAATCCAATGACCACTTTGAAAGCCTGAAGGTGCCTAACTACCTAATTTCACTCTCCCACTACCTATCACAGTTTCGGAGGCCCTGAAATGCCAGGATAGCACCAAACCCCCCCTCCCCCCAAATGACCCCTTTTTGTAAAGTAGAAACCCCAAGAAATTTAAAAAGAGGCATGGTGAGTATTTTGAAGTGGGTGAATTTGAAGTGAGTGAATCCACCTGAATACCGGGTTGGATAGTGAATGGGAATGCGAACACTGCGGTTTTGTGTGCAATGTATCAAGTGACAGTGACCTACTGACAGTGCACTTGCTGGGGGAGAAGGAGAGGGGGTAAGTGTAGGGGCTAAACGCAGGTGCCGGAGCTGATCCTGCTAACGCTGCACTTTTGGGGATACTATACTAATGTGAACGCTGGTATGGTGCTGATCTGATCGAAGATATTGATCAGTTTAGACACAATACTAGCAATGGAGGTTTATTGTGCATGAGCGTGTTCCTGGTAATGAAGGAGTTACATATGATTACTGGTGTACTGACGGGCAATCTGACGCTATCTGGGAGGGGCGTTAAAACTACGGGAGCGGGAAACTCTCACACACACACACACACGTGACACACAATTTTGCGCACCCCGTGCCGCCCTGTAGCAGTATTTCTGCTATAGGGCGGTCACAAAGCAGTTACAGAAGCGGTTTGCATTACAGCGCTGCGGTACTTTAACAATTGCAAGATCATGCAATGCTGCACCCAACTGAAATTGGACGGGGCCCCGTACTTCTTTTAACTGCTTAACGCCCGCCCACAGTACGTTTACTGTGGCAGAGCGGACCCGCTGCGCAAAATACGTATATATACATGTGTGATTTTGCATTTCCGGGTAGGGGGAGAGCGTGCGAGGCATGTGACCACCCTACCTGCGCGGCCGATCGCAGCCCCGGGAGTCAGTCACCTGGTCCCGGCCGGTGATTACCCGCCAGTGCCCAGTGATTGCCAGCAAACACCGATAGGGAGGAGTCACACAGTCACACTCCCGTCACACAGTTAACCCTTTGATTGCCTCAAATTGTTAACCCCTTCCTCCCCAGTCTCATTAGTACAGTGCTTTTTTTTTTGTTGCACTGATCACTGTATTGGTGTCACTGGGGATGTCAGTGACACCAAGCCAGTTCCCCCCAGCGTCAGAATGTCTGCCGCAGTCCCGCCATAAGTCGCTGATCGCCGCCATTATTAGTATAAAAAAAAAAAAAACACAATTAATTTACACGTATTGGGATTTTTTTTTAGCAAAGACATGTCGCAGAATACATTTTGGCCTAAATTTATGATGAAATTTGATTTTTAAATTTTTTTACTGGATATATTTAATAGCAAAAAGTCAAAATTATTGTTTTTTTTTCTCAAAATTGTCAGGCTTTTTTTATAGCGCAAAAATTAAAAAAAAAACTGCACAGGCGATCAAATACCTCCGAAAAAAAGCTCAATTCGTGGGTAAAAAAAAAAAAAAATGGACGTAAATTTCATTTGGGTGCAGCATTGCATGACTGCGCAATTGTCAGTTACAGGAATGCAGCTCCGTAACAAAAAAAATTACCTGGTCAGGAAGGGGGGTAAATCCACAGGAGGGCAAGTGGTTAAATAAGTTCACCTTTGAACATGTTACACTACCCCCCCCTTCCAATGACAGCAGGTGGGGGTTCTTCTACCGCCGCACCACAATGTGAAATCAGCACAACTGCACAGTGCTCTGCTTTCAGAACCATATCATTTATTTACAGTGATCTGTGAATGAATGAACTACAAGTCCCTTCTGCCACTGTTCCAGTTGAAAGCCTGATCCATTGATCGCATGTGCAATTTTTTTGCAGGTTTCTTTAAAAAACTAAATAATAAATGAACATTTTACAACATCTCCCCAATCCATTCCCAACCAATTTTTTGTTTTTTAAATGTTGCTTTAGTGTGTAGCTCTGAAAACATATGTATTGAGAAAAAGGATATTCCATTCCATCCCATCCTTGTGTTCCAGCAAAGTTATCATTGATCGATTTCAGCAAGTCCTTTGTGGATCCTGGACCTAGGAAAAGAATATACAGAATCTAATCTCACAGACAAACTGATTTGCAACCATGATCAATAGTATTCAAAGACATGAAAGCATGAAAAGGATAAAATCACATAAAAGATCTGCGCAAGAAAGACAGATTGACAAGATTTTTTGAGTTTACTATTTTTTCTACAATGCACTCACCACTTCCTCCTCTAACATTTGCTTAAACTTGTACAATGCTGAATTCACCATCCCTATTCCGAAACCATCGAATATCATATATTCACAGCATTTTTTTATTTTCTTTCAACTTTCTTTAACCCTTTGGTGCCGGCGCCTTTAAGGGTTTCAGAAGCCGGGAGGCAGGGCGGTGTTTAGGGTCATGTGACTGCCGTGACACGCGGTCACGATCAGGAAAGGTTCCAATCCAAATAGGAGATCGGGACCTTTCCGTGAGTACCGGACATGTGTGCTGGGAGCGCGCAGGGTGCGCGCTCTCAGCACATGGTTTTTTTTTATAGAACGCAAATGTGCGGCCACTTGGCGTCTAGGCCCAGATGCCGGGAGGCCGCACATTTGCATTCGGCCGGTGCCAAGAGCTTAACGTCCATATTGGAAAGCACTGGGTTTTTCAGAAGGTCTAAATTTCAGTGCAGTGGTAGGAGTTCAAGAGTCTTTAACATATGCTGGGCGCAGTGAAAATGAATATTTCCCATCCCATAATGAAGATATCTACACTTTTCATACATAGAGGTGTACCTCAATTTACGAACGCCTCAGTTAACGTAATATTTGGTTTACGAATGAAAATCAATTGAAAATAATGCCTTAGTTTATGGATTTGTTTTGCAATATGAAGTGTATGTCGGTACTGATTTTTAAATGCAATTGCTGGCTTTTTTTTCTCTTCACTATAGCTCACAGAATTATCTGTCACTTTTCCCGGAGTTAAAGGAAATATTGTTTCTTTTAACTTGGAAAATAAACTAACAGGAAACTTTCTTTCTTGTAGCTGGGGGGAAAATGACAGCTGACTCTCTGAGCTAAGAAAAAAAAAAAAGTGTTAATTACATTTAAAAACCGGCACCACAATAAATCAACGTCGTGAGGTCCCCCCCTCCATTCATATCAAGCCCTTCAGGTCTGGTATTGGTTTGGAGGGGAACCCTCATGTCTAAATTGAAAAAAAAAAAAAAATGGCGTGGAGGTCCACCCCAAGATCCATACCAGACTCTTATCTGAGCATGCAGCCTGGCAGGTCAGGTAAGGAGGGTGGAGGGGGCGAGAGCAAGCGAGCAAGGGACCCCCCCCAGAAACAAACCAGGCCACATGCCCTCAACATGGGGGGGTGCTTTGGGGCCCCCTAAAGCACCTTGTCCCCATGTTGATTGGGACAAGGGACTCTTCCCCACAACTCTGGCCTGTGGTTGAGGGGGTCTGCAGGCAGGGGGCTTATCGGAATCTGGAAGCCCCCTTTAGCCCCCAGATCACGCCCCCCCCCCACCACGTGAATGAGTATAAAAAGGTACATGGTACCGTTACCCATCCACAAGAAAAAAAAAAAAAAAAAAGTGTAGTGCGAAAAAAAAAAAAGACAGGAGACGGTCTTTGACATGTCCTTTATTAAACGAAGAAAAATAACAGAATGTCCCCAGAAGTAGATCCAGCATCGATCACGATATTCGCCGCTACCCAAAGAAAGAAGGAAAAAAAAAGGCTATGCTCCCGACGCTGCCTCCTGGCCCTCTGCCTGTTCCGCTGGCTTGACAGTTCTTAAATATGTAAGGAGGAGGGGCACCCAGTGACATCATGCATTGGCCCCACCTCCTTGTGGCATCATCAACCGGGGCATACTGGGTCAATATCACAAGGAGGTGGGGCCACACGTGTGATGTCACTGGGTGGCCCGCCCCTTCCATATTAAAGAACTGTCAAGCCAGCTCAGAGGCAGACGGCCAGGAGCCATCGTCGGAAGCGTAGCTTTTTTTTTTTTTTTTAATTCTTTTTTCCGGTCGCTGGTGGACATCGTGATTGACGTTGGATCTACTGCAGGGGACATTCTTTTAGTCTTTACTTTTAATAAAGGACTTGTCAAAGACCATGTCCTGTCTTTTTTCACACTACACTTTTTGTTTTTTTTGTGAATGAGTAGCGGGACCATGTACCCCATACTCATTCACATGGGGGGCAGCCCCCCTGCTCCAAATCACCCCCCCATGTTGTCATGGTGTTGCTATGGCTCAGGAGGGGAAGGGGAGGGGGGGGCGCTAGCTAGTCCCCCCCCTTTCCTGACCTGCCGGACTGCATGCTTGGATAGGGGTCTGGTATGGATTTTGGGGGGAGCCCCATGCCATTTTTTTTTTTTTTTTTTTTTTTAATTTTGGCGTGGGAGTTCCGAACGGGCTTGGTATGGATGGGAGGGGGGAATCCCATGCCAATAATTTTTTTAATTGCCAGTAATTCTTTCTTTTACATTCAGCTGTCAGTGGGGAACCCCGCTGACAGCTGAAACATTAACACATGGTTGTCACTACTAAAACACCGCATGATTTGATAAAATAACTCATGTGATATTTTAGTAGCATTTACATTTTTCTGACCTCCGGAACGGATTAATTGGTTTTCAATGCATTCCTATGGAACACAGTGTTTCGGTTTACAAATTTTTCGCTATATATGAAAAGTCCCGCAGAACGAATTAAATTCGTAAACCGAGGTATGCCTATACATACATACATACACACACCAGAACATATCGGGGTGCACATGCATCACAAGCAAACGAGAAAATCAAACCAGAGAAAAGTATTTTGTGATCAGAAAGATAAAGCGATCCTAAAATAGAGGATTCTCATTATGCATTAAAAGAAATGTAAAAAAGTAGCAATTATACATGCTTTGAAACAGAATACTTTAGGACACTTGAAGAAAAAAAAAATTACCTTTTTCGGCATCAATAGCCTGAAAGAAATTAAATAAAAGTTAAAATAAATAAATTTTTTGAAAACTTCCAATTTGACAAACAACCATCACATAGAACAGTGGTCTCCAAACTGCGGCACAAGAGTCAGCAGAGACCCTTTATTTGCATTTAATCGGCCCCTGGGACACCATTTCATCCACAGATGTCAATGACGGGGTCCCATTCCTCCCACAGACCCAGGACGGGGCACCATTCCTCCCACAGACCCAATAACGGGGCCCCAATCCTCCCACAGACCCAATAACGGGGCCCCAATCCTCCCACAGACCCAATGACGGGGCCCCACAGACCCAATCCTCCCACAGACCCAATGACGGGGCCCCACGCCTGACCCAATGACGGGGCCCCATTCCTCCCACAGACCCACTGACGGGGCCCCATTCCTCCCCCACAGACCCACTGACGGGGCCCCATTCCTCCCACAGACCCAACGGGGCCCCATGACCCAATGACGGGCCCCATTCCTCCCACAGACCCAATGACAGGATCCCATTCCTCTCATAGACCCAATGATGGGGCACCATTCCTCCGACACATATAGGGCACCAGATAAAAACAGTGGGGCACTATTCCTCCCACTAAAACCATTGATGCGGCATTGTTTACTCCCAGTGACGCCGGGGTGTTTTCTACTGCAACTGGCCACAGTTCGGCACCTAAAGCCTGAAGGACAGTAAACCAGCCCTTTGTTTAGAAAGTTTGGAGACCGCTGACATAGGACAACATGTTCAAGGAGCATAGAAACTATTTGTCTACCTTTGTTGCACTACAGAAGTGATTTTTTGTCAACTATAAACGGTGGTTGAAAATGAACAGCATTATACAAAATGTAGAGAATATAGCACTTACCTCATCATCAGCCTTTGGTTTCTCAAAATAGCTGTGCCTCCTCTTGTCCTCATCCCTGTCCCTTTCTCTATCCCGTGGCCTGTCCCTGTCTCTCTCTCTTTCCCTTTCATGATCTCGTTCCCTCTCTCTTTCCCGTGGACGTTCTCTTTCTCTATCTCGCTCCTTCTCCTTGTGTTTTTCTCTCTCCTTCTCACGAGGTGCTTTAGCTGTGGTTGGAACATAGTCTCCAATATCGTCAAAGATGCTGCAAGAGAGAAAAAAAAAAAAAAAAAGCAGCATAAACTCAAAATGACCTCTGTAAACTCACAGAATGATAACTGGCAGGCTTCTTCAGACAATGAAACCAGACTAAAAATCTACAAAAGTTACTCTGTTTATATCATAAAACACGCCTGGAAAATTAACGGTTTTCTTGTTGCTCAGAGTAAAATTATACCAATAGTGGATCATATATTCCTTTCATTTTCTAAAATGTACAAAAATCAGAAGGAAGGTTCTGGTTGTTGCAACTTTTTTTCACTTTTTTTCTTTGTACATGACTGGTCCATTTATACATAAAGATATTATTCTATTTCAGAAAAGGCAGTAATAAGCAGCTCATGGATAAATGATACATAAGGCATAACAACTTACTTCATATCTGCCTCTGGAGGCTTCTTTTCATCCAGTTTGCCTGCAAATATTAAAATGTAAAATCCTTAAAATGATCAGCTTTGGTTGTTTTTTTATTTCAGACAACTGTGATGAAAATCAGCTAGCTAGATGATAGTGGTTGTCATTGCCTGATAATTGCCACTGCAACCATTTTTTGACATAAAACATTTATATTATATATTATTTTCCACATATTTTGAAAAGGGAAAGAACATCCATCAGGTTTTTATTACTGATAAGGAGAAATTCCTTAAAAAGAGACATCCCTTGGGGTCATCGTGGGGGGAGATTGCAGAAGGGTATAAATGGAAAATTTGGCTTGAGGCTGCATCATTAGCTCTTTACATCTGACAACTTATGGGTTTTTTTTTTTTAAACATTGTCCATGAAAATATAACTACTTTCATTCTAAAACATTTTCTGGTTAAATGCATTAGGGCTGTTGGTTTGAATCCCAACCACCTGCCTGGAGTTTGCATGTTCTCCCTGTGCCTGCGTGGGTTTCCTCCGGGTACTCCAGTTTCCACGCACACTCAAAAGACATGCTGGTAGGTTAATTGGATCCTGTCTAAATTGGCCCTAGTATGTGTATGTATGAATGAAAGCTAGGGATCTTAGATTGTACGTCCCTTGAGGGTTAGGGACTGATGTGAATGTACAATATATATGTAAAGTGCTGCGTAAAGTGATGGCGCTATATAAGCACCTGAAATAAATATACACACTCACTCTATACAGTAGAATCTTACTGTATTTACTAATTTTTATGGTTTCTGACAGTTAAAAAAATATTTAATACAGGTCTCTAATCTTTGCTTTCTTGCAGAGCTACACCCGCAGCAAGGATGTTCTGTGCCTGGCACTTTCTGGTTTAACTTGCTGGCTTCTACATCATTGTGTGTCCCTGCAGCCTTTTGTAGCAACATATTGGAGTAACTGCAGTTTATCCTTTGTACTGTCTGTAGTCAGAAACTTACAAAGGAAACAGAGTGGGGCACCATTAGTGCATGGTTAAAAACAACACTTTAACAGCAGCTTGAAAAAGGAGGCAGGGCCTCCAAAACAAGTTGCAGCCGCCCCCCCCCCCCCCCCCCCCCCTTACAGCCTGTCATGTTCCCGTCTGCCTTCCTGCTAGTGCCATGAGTGAGAGGAGAGACGCCTCCAATCTATCATCTTGCAGTGGGTCCTTGATTGTGCCCTGCAGCCCTATCAGTCCATCTAGATTGCTGTGCTCTGGTACCACCACTCTGACACCTGGAGCAGTCTACAGGTCTTTCAGATGTTAAGTGAGAAATGGAATTAAAGTGTTATTTTTAACAACACACTAATCTGGTGCCCTGCTGTTTCCTTTGTATGCTTGTGAAGGATTACCCAGATCCATTGGCTAAGAGCTGCTGGACAGGTGCATTTCTCTCATCCACCTTTCTAGCCACCCATCCATCTACTTTGTGAACTCTGTGGATTATTCACTGTGGACTTGAGCACCGATTGTGCTTGTTTAATTACAGATTGTACTGGTTACCACTGTAGTCATAAACTTAACTTCTTTAGGCTGCATTCACATCTGAAAGACATGGGAGTGTATTTTTTGTGTGTTTTTGATGCAACATGTAGCTCTTGTACTCTTTTTTTGGTTTTGTTTTTAGCCAATTATAGCATGTTTTTGAATAACGCCTTTGCGCTGGTTTCTTTAGCACGTCTGGGGTGCCATTAAAGTAGTTGTAAAGGCAATACATTTTTACCTTAATGCATTCCCTGTATACCATCCTATCTTGATCCAGAGGTGTGCCCATCTGCAGCAGCGTCCTCCTCTCTCTCTACTCACAGAACATAAAGGCAGCAATGGAATCCATTGGCTCCTGCTGCTGTTAATCAAATCCTGTGAGGAGGGAGTGAGGGGAAGGGTTGAGCCATGCTGTGTGTGTGTGTGTGTGTGTGTGTCTGTCTATGTATGTACACAGCCCAGCTTGGGAATGTGCCTGCAGGTGCGTCCCCAAAGGAGGTGGCTTCCTATGGTGGTGGACAAAGAAAAGAAGGAGGTGAACACACCGAGCTGAACACACCGGTGGGGGACACCAAAAGAGCAGGTTTGGGGCAAGTATAACATGTTTATTATTTAAAATAAAAAAAAATTGTTTACAATGCTTTAACAATGAAAAGCTCCCAAACGTGCATTCCAGAATTGATGGCAAAATCACATGAATCTGATACACTGAGATGTCAACGGAACCCTAGTCAAATACAATTTATTTCCTGCAAATGTGTATATTTTAAGGATGTAAAATATGTAAACAGTAATTTGAAATAAAGGGAACAAAATATCTGATACGCATCAGTGAATGAGGAGACTATGGAACCTTACAGTAAGGCTGCTGTTTACAGTTAACAAGTAACTACCTTTGTCCTTCTTCTTCAGTTTCTTGTTACGTGTTCCTTGCCTCAGGTAAGACAAGATCTGAGTCAATTTGCTGATGACTATGTCATTTGTTGTGAGAGTTGTTTGAGCCTGAAAAAATGAGAATCACTGTAAAAAAAAATCTTCAATTCATACTGTTAGACAAGTATAAAGCAACCACAGAATACAGAGTATCCCTTAGTCTCTTTTGGACATCACACCAGCTTTACAACAGGTGAACCTAGGCCATCCTTTCTATGGTTATATACAGTCAGGTCCATAAATATTGGGACATCAACACAATTCTAACATTTTTGGCTCTATACACCACCACAATAGATTTGAAATGAAACAAACAAGATGTGCTTTAACTGCAGACTGTGAGCTTTATTTGAGGGTATTTACATCCAAATCAGGTGAACGGTGTAGGAATTACAACAGCTTGCATAAGCCTCCCACTTCCAAAATGGGACAGAATAATAATCATAAATCAAACTTTCACTTTTTAATACTTGGTTGCAAATCCTTTGCAGTCAATTACAGCCTGAAGTCTGGAATGCATAGACATCACTAGATGCTGGGTTTCATACCTGGTGATGCTCTGCCAGGCCTCTACTGCAACTGTCTTCAGTTCCTGCTTGTTCTTGGGGCATTTTCCCTTCAGTTTTTCTTCAGCAAGTGAAATGCATGCTCAATCGGATTCAGGTCAGGTGACTGACTTGGCCATTGCATAACATTCCACTTCTTTCCCTTAAAAAACTCTTTGGTTGCTTTTGCAGTATGCTTTGGGTCATTGTGCATCTGCACTGTGAAGCGGCGTCCAATGAGTTCTGAAGCATTTGGCTGAATATGAGCAGATAATATTGCCCGAAACACTTCAGAATTCATCCTGCTGCTTTTGTCAGCAGTCACATCATCAATAAATACAAGAGAACCAGTTCCATTGGCAGCCATACATGCCCACGCCATAACACTACCACCACCATGCTTCACTGATGAGGTGGTATGCTTAGGATCATGAGCAGTTCCTTTCCTTCTCCATACTCTTCTCTTCCCATCACTCTGGTACAAGTTGATGTTGGTCTCATCTGTCCATAGGATGTTGTTCCAGAACTGGTGAAGGCTTTTTTAGATGTTGTTTGGCAAACTCTAATCTGGCCTTCCTGTTTTTGAGGCTCACCAATGGTTTACATCTTGTGGTGAACCCCTCTGTATTCTCTCTGATGAAGTCTTCTCTTGATTGTTGACTTTGACACACATACACCTACCTCCTGGAGAGTGTTTTTGATCTGGCCAACTGTTGTGAAGGGTGTTTTCTTCACCAGGGAAAGAATTCTTCGGTCATCCACCACAGTTGTTTTCCGTGGTCTTCCGGGTCTTTTGGTGTTGCTGAGCTCACCGGTACATTCCTTCTTTTTAAGAATGTTCCAAACAGTTGTTTGGCCACGCCTAATGTTTTTGCTATCTCTTCTGATGGGTTTGTTTTGTTTTTTCAGCCTAATGATGGCTTGCTTCACTGATAGTGACAGCTCTTTGGATCTCATCTTGAGAGTTGACAGCAACAGATTCCAAATGCAAATAGCACACTTGAAATGAACTCTGGACCTTTTATCTGCTCATAGTAATTGGGATAATGAGGGAATACCACACACCTGGCCATGGAACAGCTGAGAAGCCAATTGTCCCATTACTTTTGGTCCCTTAACAAGTGGGAGGCACATATGCAAACTGTTGTAATTCCTACATAGTTCACCTGATTTGGATGTAAATACCCTCAAATTAAAGCTGACAGTCTGCAGTTAAAGCACATCTTGTTTGTTTCATTTCAAATCCATTGTGGTGGTGTATAGAGCCAAAAATGTTAGAATTGTGTCCATGTCCCAATATTTATGGACCTGACTGTACTATAGCTAGTAAACTGCCTAGTGTGATGATTTAATCTCACCATTATAGAGAAATTCAACTACTTGCTGCCCATCATCCTATAAGCAGCAAATCGCTTAAAATTTATCCCAACTGTGGATACTGTCAATGAATAGTTACATTTTGCACTTTTAAAAACTAACACTAATTTTTCCAATGACATATACATATCCTTCACTCTCCTTCCACTTCATTCAGTGCCAGGGGCCAAAATCAATACCCAGGGCTTCAAGGGTATGGAAGAGCCTGTGACAAAGTAAAGAGAGTGACAAGGGAGCAAAAGGAATGTTGACACATGCTGCTGAGGAAGCCTGCACTGAAGTAAATCTGTTGCTTTACCCTGTGTAGGTAAAGCACTGGTTCACTTTAACCACGCTGACTGTGTGTAGGCTAGCTGTAAGAAATGGCCTTTGTTTCATTTGCCAGTTCAGAACTGCACAGATTTTAAATCATTGTGTAGTAGAGTCATCATCCCATTTCATAAGCATGCAAAAGAGATGATCTATTAAAGGTTCAGTCAACTAAATGGAGTCAATATATAGCTAGATAGCTGGCCCATCAATCTGCCATTTTAGCATTTTAGTGTAAAATGTAGAAAATGACAAGTCATTTTTTATTGCAATATTTTAAAAGTGTAAAACAGCTTTATCTGCCCTAGACAATGTGCAGACATTTACTTTAATTTCAAACATGCTCATTAATGATTCACAGTGAATAAATATGGGACATAATGCTTTGCTACCCCGCCTATGGGACTGCCAAATTTTAGGTATAACATATTACCTCCATGGTTGGACAGTCAGCCTTGCTTCGAATGAGTGTGGTTGGAATATCTGTGTCCGCGTACTCATCATCTAAATCGACTACATAAGCCATTCGACCTGGCAGAAAGAGTTCATTGCGCTCATATGCCTTGCCTTTAAATAGGTTACGGTAGACATTTCGACCTGTTGGCAGAAAAATACATTTAGCTAAAATATATACATTTATATATATATATATATATATATTATATATATATATTTATTAAATTAAATAAGGCTTTTAAAAAAAAAAAAACTTACCTAGCCGGGTTTTAAATTCAATTTTTATCTCAGGATCCTCATCTTTCCTAGTGATAAAACAACAAAAATGTGAGGAACTAAAGTAAGACCTTTTATACAGCACATTCTAACTATAATGTGTAGAAATTAAAACCTGTAGGAAAGGAGTAATTTCCATCTATTAGCACAATTTTTATCTCCCAATCCCCCAAATCGTCTGCTGTGCATTGCAGTTAACAATGAAAAGACTATTTCAGTATTCGGTGTATAACATGACCTAAAGTGCAACCCAATGTACTTTTCATGATGTTTGGAATCAGGATTGTCACTATGTACCAATTTGTTATGCAAATTTTTGAAGCCTCTGTAAGTTTCTCTTTTGTTGCAGGCTAATAACACTAGTCACTAGCTCTCAATTAGTAACAGTGTTGTCACTCTACCACACATTTGGGCTACCCGTTCAACAAGCTACAGAAGCATTCTGTATTCCTTCTAGAGGAGTCCCTCTCTCTAAATGCAATCTGGCAGCAATAAATTTGGTTAAGGGAACACACCATTAAGCCTTCTCTAAGCTAACTGGTGGAGCAGGTGAGAGGGCTGTAATGTGTAGGTTGGTTTAAGGGACATGAAAAACCATGCAAAATATATCAACATGTTGTAAAGTCATCGATAGATGCTGTGTCTATGTATTGGTTATAACTGTATATGTACAAGGGGCAGTTTAATTCACTGATTACCTATCCTGACTCTAAATTCTACTCTGAAGGCAAAACACAATCTCTGTGCTCTTTTGCTCCTTTACTTCTTGCAAACCTCAGAGCAGACCAAATCACTGAACTCGACAAACTCCATATGTAGCCAATATCCTAATATGGATCTTGCAGTAAAATGGGTCTAGGCCACTTCCTCTTTATAATTCACTGCATGATAGTACTTCAAAAATGTAACCCGTAAAAAAAAAAAAAAAAAGTTTGATGATATACCTACCTTACCCATATCTTCTACTTTGCAGGGTGTAAAATTGCTTTCTTTTGGGAGAAATCCCTAAGGAATGCAAAGCAGCTCAAATCTTGTGAAAGACCACTTCAGTTTGTTTCAGGAGCATCTCTGAACAAGATTTGAGATGCCCTGAATTCCCCAGGATCTCACCAGAAGGAAAGTAACCTCACCACTGCCTAGACACGGAAGGATGCAGTGTCAATACAGATTACAGAGCTCCCTTGCTAGCCACGAATTTAAAAAACTCTAAAAGCAGTAACAGCTGTATGGAAAAGAAAGCATGTAATAGTGAAAGTAACATCAAAAATTATTTTTTTTACTGTAAACACAGAGCTAATAGCTAAAAATGTGTGCTCACTGAACACAAATAGAAAGTGCAGTTTAAGACACTTTTGGTTCAGACAAACCTTTTACTGAATACAATGAAAACGTGTGAGCTGCTATGCCAAATTCTACGTGCCAAAAATGTGATCGCTTGCACCATACACATACTCATAAAAAATGTGCCAATAGTGATAAGATATCATAAATGTGCCGCACTCCATTCAAAATTACAGCAAACTAAAAGCATACGTGCAAATAATAAATTAATCAAACACAAATATAACAAAATGTCTGTATTAACTCCTTGATTCTCTTCGATCACTGTAGTGAAATATATCAAGTGCTTCTAAGTCAACCTTTGGTGTCTGTTATCAATTCAACACTTGTGCATCCCCACTAATGGCTGGACTTTACTGGCTTCACGATGTCTATGGTGAATTTTCAACATCCAAACCAGAAAAGGGTTACAATCAACAAATCATTAATGTGGCTTGAGCATGGAATTCAGAAAAGTGGAAGGGAATGGGGATGAACCTAACAAGTTAAAGCCATCTCACCCTCCCCCCAGCAATACGTTTTGAGAAAGACAACCCTGCACCATGGCCATAGCCTACAGTGGGGTCACTCCACTCACCCATTCAGTTTTTGGCCATTTTGCTTTCAGCAGAAAACTGGTTGCTGCTTTGCTGAATCTTTTCAAAGACAGCTGACAAGGGTCACTTTTTGCCTAGCAATGACCTTAATTTCACACAGACACATAATAAACATTTTATTATTCCATAAAACCAAACCATTAACACTACTCACTTGGTTTCTTTTTGAGGCTTTTCCATCAAATCTTCCTCCTCTTTTTCCTTGCTGGCAATTTCAGCACGGACCTGAAAAAAGGCACAAAACATAAAGATAATAAATACAAAATAATTTAAACATGAAATGATAGCACTAAATTAAAGGAAAGAACAATGTAACCATTCTAAAAATAAAAAAGAACCTAGAACGGTTATTGTTGGAAATCACGTTTTGTAGGTTTTGATTTTTTTTTTTTCTTTACTGAGTACTAAGACAGCTTTTATTCAAGCACATGTGCACTGTTTACTGTACTTGGAACTCTTTTTGCCTTATCTCTCTAATCTGTGGTGTTCATGAACAAATCCACATACAGTAGAGGAGTTTACATCCTTATTATTTTGTAAAGAAACATTAACAGTGCATTCCCCCCCCAGCTTCCAGGTACGAGCACAAACTATCAATCCTCTTGTCCTCATGCATAAAAACATAGGTGTTGTCATCAGCACTTTACACAGACTCTACTACTCTAATATTGTAGAACACCTCATACATGTTTGTAACTCTGCACTGCCTAGGACTTACACACTGAAGCTACACTGTTCAATACCTAAAAATGTGGTACCTGACACACTGGACAGCATTACATGAATGCTCAGAACTCAAACCACCTTTAAACTCCATTACTTCTTATTGATGTGTCACCACTGGTATGAATGGTTGTCCCATCAGATACATAAAGGGACAAGTGGTGTTCCTACCACCTGTCAGTACAAACACCAGTTCACACATGTGTACTCTAGAGGCAGCTAATTACAATTAACATCAGTGTTACCTTTTGCAGCAGGGCAAAATCCAGACCTTTCACCAAGTGAGTGTGCTCCATGTCACCACCCAAGAACTTGGACTCCTGGATCAACTGACGCCTCTTTTCTGCTGCTGATTTGTCACTGAATAGAAAAGAAAGAAGTGTTACTAATTAATCTTTTAACAATTAGAAACTGTCACTTTGCCCATTCAAGGCAAAGCAACCAATTCTTTTGAAAGAGGAGCCCTCAACCCATTTAGACTTGCCTTCCCCATAACTTTATTCCTCTCTGTCTTAGCCAGGAGTTCAAACCCTGTGTCAGATAGTTTTGTACCTCACATCAAGTTCATATGCTGCTCCCCTTCCTGATATGACAGGGCTCAGGCCTTATAATTGGCCACAAAGGCTTAAACAATGCACTCTGAGAACTCCAAAGCAGTAATAAAGTAGAAGGGGAATGTGGCAATTCTGTTTTAAGATTGCAGTTTGTGTGCTAGCTAGGGAGATTTTTCCTCCCTTCTTGTTCAAGTAATAGTATGGATTGAAGGGATTCATTGGATTAAGTGAGGAGGAAATCTTCCCAACTGAGGTACAAAGAGCAAACCTTTTCCTAATCTATATGAATGCAAAGTAACAATTCTGGTTGGAGTTTTGCTTTTGTAATTTCGTTCAAAATACAAACTACCACAGCTGTATTGCAGCAAAACAACTTAAACTGCTGCTTTTGAGTCCACTCACAGAGAATGTACTTCAATACACTTGTGACTACCCAGTGCTGAATTAACAGCTGTATGGAGTCATCGTTTGTGTAATAAATTCTGCTACTTCAGATTAGCAGGATTCATTTTATTGATTTCAAATTGTAAAGGAACTTTACATTCATGAAGCAAAAATGTACAAACTGTTCTTAGCAACTTACGCTTCAGCTGTAGGGCCTACAGCTCGGTAATTGGCTGTTGTGCTGATAAGTTCTGTTTCTTCATAGTCCTTGTTGACTCCATCACGTCGTTCCTTGGCTCTGTCTCTGTATTTCTCTGCCAGTTCCCTCTCCCGCTCAATTTCCTGCTGCCGCAACTTCGCATAGTAGCTGTATATAAGAGAACAGGGATGACAGAGCTGCATGAAAAAAATTACTACCTGGAACTCTGCATAATACATCTACCAATGACTTAGCTAGAAATTGTATTTTTTGACACAAGTAGAAAAACTGTTTTATATGATATTCTTTAGAATAACCACATTTTCATGATCTGTATTTGAAAACTGGTAATATTGCTATCTTGAAACTTTTTTTTAATATGTTCAAAGTATAATCAAATCAAAATATAACTTCATAATGTGGGGTGGCATTAAATTAGTGACTGCATACAAAAGAATCTATATATAAAAGACTGGTATGAAAAAGTACCTGTAACTGATGTTTTGATTAGCACAATTAAAATAAATACTAGAACCTACTTCCTTCTATTACTTTTATTTATTAAAAACAGAAGAGTAATGGAATTTTTCCTCAGGACACTTCACATTACTCTTGCCTATATTTGTCTCCCTATTCATTATAGAACCTCATTTTGCTGGGAGGTATATTCGTATATCTTATAGAAAGCAACACACTATGACTGTTGATCCCTCTCTGCTCTCAAGAAATGGGTAAAAGTATAAGGCCTCATGCACACTGGATGTTTTTACAGCTGCTCCTAGGGGCATCTGGTGTTTTTTCCTCCTGCCCCTAAACCCCACTATATGTTAGCCTATGTGTCCATGCACACAAACCTTTAGAGGTGTTTAGTGGTGAGAGAATTTACAGGCAGTAAAAAAAAAAAAAAAAAAAAAACCATTGCCAGTGCATATAAGAGTAGCAGAGTTTTGGCATAAAAAAAACACGGCGCTGCAAAAAACATATGCAAATGCGTCTAAACACCCATTAATGCTAGGCACGTTTAGCACTTGAGCATTAATTTCAATGGCCAGAATTATTTATTCTGGCCAATGAACTGAATTAACGTCCAAACGCTTGATGCGACTAAACGCGCCTCAACATGTTACACTCTTTTACAAGCGTCAAGCTTTATTTTGGCAAAAAAGCTGCTGCCAGGTGGAAAGGCTTCTAGGACAGCTAAGAAAATGTCCTGTGTGCATGAGGCCCAAGACCTTTTACATAGACTGTATTAAGTGATAATAATATGCAAGATAATTAAATCATGTTGCTGCACCTAGCAAGTACCAACCTATTTCAACTGATCTGTAGAAAGACAACAAATCTTAAACTTTACCTTTTTTTCTTCCTCCTACGGGCAGCTGGATCTTCATCCTCATTATATTCACGTGGCATTCTAAAAATGATAAAATATGCTGACAGGTTAATACTAGTTAAACAGCATAAAAAGTCTTAAAATAATCTGTTTTCCAAGCGAGGTCAAATTAAATTAGGCAGTTTATGACCTTTCACAACTAAGAAAATACTTACTCATGATGGCGAGATTTAGTAGGGGGCGCAGAAGATGGAGTAGACCGAGGGGTCATAAGAAGTTTACGGAAATCTTCATTTGTAAGTTTTGACCTACAAGAAACAAAAGAATATGTGAAAAAAAGGGACATGAAAACTCAAAAGGAATTATATGTTGGCCAACCTCTAATTTTTTACGTTTTAGAGGAGAAAACAGGGGAATAGTGGGATAAGGCTGCAAAAACACACTAAGCCTGGGTTCACGCTATATGGTGCGGGTCGCCACATGTAAGTCGCACAGGAATCGCAGCACATTCCTATGCAAATTACATGCAAATGCATGTGCGGTGCGATTTGAGCCATACACTTTGTATGGCTCAAATCATATCGCATCCGCACCAAAAAGGTGCAGGACCCTTTTTTAAATCCACACCTGAATCACATTGCATGGGTGTTCTCACATCGCCTTTTGCGATCCATTTCGGGGTTTCATTCATTTAACACTGACAACCACACCAGATCGCATTAACGCGATGCGATTGCAATGCGATACAGGAAACGGACAGGATTCCCAGCATCTCCCGCACCGTATTGGTGTGAACCAGGTCTTAAGGAATTAGTAAGATGACAGAGTGGTAAAATCAGCTATACCATTCCACATCTTTTACCCAGCATCACTAACCACAAAGAAGCACATTGTAATCTTCCCCAAAGGTAATAAACATTAACACTACATCAAAACCACAGCATGGAACTTCTGGAGCTGCTGACACTGTGAAGCAATGGCCGCAACGGTCCATGTACCACATATGTATTATACTTCAATGAAAACAAACCTAATTCAAGCCAAATAACTTTTTTTTTTAGTGTGAGCAGAGTGGAGAATAGTTGAAATATCTAGCATGTTTTATTTGTGCTTGTAATCAATTGGGAAGAATTTTCCCTCTCCTTGTGATGCTTGTACAAGAAATGGTGGGATGCAGACATTACCAGATCAGGAAGGCACAGGTAACAATACAAACATTGTCAGTAGTTCTAACCCTTTCCCCTCTATACTAAAAAGGTGGTTTTGTCTGTTTATCTACTGAGCAAAATAAAGAGGCCAAACTGAGCCTACAACTCTATCAAACCTAAAATCTGTCATATTGAAAAATTAAAATATATAGTCAGTATAACCTAACACTCTGTTCCCGTGCCAATGTATGTTTCCTTTAGATTCATTCCGAACACGAGACACACTGCTGCATCATGTTAGGTGCTATCTCAAGGTTCCTGGGCAAACTGACTAATAGCTTTACAAGAGTTTCCAGTGCTGGAATAAGTATTAGGGAAGACAAATCACCCTATACTTGGTCTAATACTTACTGGAATGAATGCAAATCTTCCACATCATGGCCATCAGGAGCCAGAGGATTGGAGAACAGCTCACCTGGAATTTTAAGAAAGAAATGTAGTCATTAAACATACAGTAATAAAGAGAGATCACATACATAGATCCTTCTGAAAAAAAAACCCATCTCCTACATATTGGGGTTTGTCTACTAAAGCAGGGGAGTGCAAAATCAAGTGCACTTCTATATAGAAACCAATCAGTTTCCAGGTTTTATTGTCAAAGCTTAATTGAACAAGCTGAGGTTAGAAGCTGATTGGCTACCATGCACCGCTCCACAGATTCTGAGTCCTCCAGTTTTAGTAAATCACCCCCCTTGTCTTTCAGGGAAGATCATCCCAGGAGTCTATAGCTTTTGTATATATTTATTTTAAATATACATTAAAAATGTGTTTTAAAAATGTTGATTCTGTGGACAGTTTGTAAATGTATAGTTACACGGAAGTCAGCTATACTTTATTAGATAAGTGGACTATTCAAAAAAACAGGTGCACCATATGAAGTTTATACTTTTTGTCACATCATTTCCCTGCCGACTCAACTTATAAAAAAACAGGTGCGGGGGAGCACAAGACATTCTTTCCTGCTCCCCATGGAGTAACGCTCAGTGTATGATTGGCCAATCACCCCATCCCATCTGCCGTCACATGAGGTGTGGGTTGCATACATCGCCTTGTGCAAGTTTAACTTCATGATCACCACACAGCAGATTGCAGTGGTGAGCATGGGTATGTAAAGGTTGCTATCAAGTGACTCTTACTTTGTCAAGTTATAAAAAAAAAAAAAAAAAAACAGAATAGCTTTAAAGGTTTTTCTTTTTTTTTTTAGTTTGGGAGGAGTCATAATATGTGGCAGGCTTAATGTCCATCATGGAAATGAACTAAATAAAAAGGGACATTAAATGTGGAATTGGGCTTTAACAATCATTTAAACCGGAGTTCAGCTTAAAGGAAAACATTTTGTTTTCACCTGTATGTAAACCTAAAATCTATTCTTCAGCACGTGCAGCTGAGTACAGTTCTTGTAAGCAAATCATTTTCTGTGATTCTATCGCAAAGGTTCTTACCTAGAGATCCTACCTCGAACAGCACTTCCTGTTTCAGGCTTACAACATTATGCCACTGCCTCAAATCTAGCAGCGACTTTAGCAGCCTAACATGCACACTTCCTTCATGTGCCAATTTGGCAGGCAGCTCAAAGGCCAACAGAAGTAGTGTGCACGACACATTACAGGAGAGGAGTTGTTTCTGTGGCATCAGCACTTAAAAATTTTGTGGTGGATGTAGGTGAGGCCATATGTATGTTGCCATGATTTAGCACCAGGAAAGGAAAATTAAAAGGTAAGCATGATACATTTCCCGTTATTAAACCCCCAAAAAGTAATATCAGTTACAGCAGCTGACCTCAATACTTACCTTGTCCAAAGATTCCCACCTCAGGTTGCCCGCTCCCAGTGTGGCTCCACTACCCTGCAGGGTCTCATGGAGACTCCAAAGAGACACTATGATGCTGCCTGTGCCAACATACATGGGAAGAAAATAGCAAAAAAACTGGTCTTGTGTAAAGAAAACAAAAAATGTGCTACAAAAAATTGCTACAAAAAATATAGTAGAGCTGCGGCTCTACTATATTTTTCACAATCTAATAAAATTATACTGTGTCAAGCCGCACTATAACTTCTTTTAAAACACAACTTATGCTTATAGACTTTATTCATTAAGAATAAGCTGTGTTTAGAAGAAGTTATAGTGCAATTTGACACAATATAACATACATGGTCAGACAGGGAAAATTTGACTGGGCACACAAGTGTGCTGGTGCGTGGAAATATGGGACATGTATTCCCAAGGAAGGGGATCGTGGAGGAATTCTTTAAAGCAGGGCTTGACAAATTTGCTTTGAATCTAGGAGCCACCTAAAAATTTAGGAGCCAGTTTTTTTTTTTAACCACTTGCCTACTGGTTACTTTGGCCCCCCTTCCTGCCCAGACCAATTTTCAACTTTCAGCGCTGTCACACTAAGCCCTGGTTCACATCTGTGCAGTCGAGAGCCCATTCATTTGAATGGACTCCAGTGCTCCGGAACATGCAGAGAAGTCCCTGCACTACTTTACAGCCCGCACGGGAACCGAGGTTCCCAGTACAGTTGCGATTTCCAGTGCGGGTGGTGTGCTATTAGAAATAATGGCACCCACCTGCTGGACCCACATTCCTCTGTGTGGGTGGTGCGGCTGCAGGTATTTGTGCTGGTCCCACAGTGGCACCACCCACACAGATGTGAACCAGGGGTAAAGGACAATTGTGTGGTCATGCAACACTGTACCCAAATTAAATTTTTATCCTTTTTGTGAGATAGATAGAGCTTTCTTTTAGTTGTAATTAATCACCACCGGGGTTTTTATTTGTACTAAATACATGAAGACTAAACCCCCCCCCCCCAAAAAAAACACCTTTTCCTTCAAATAAATAATTTTTCTTCACTGGTGTGCAGTGATGGGGCTACACTGATGAGGCAACACCGATGAGGCTGCACTGATGAGGCGCACCGATGAGGCTGCACTGATGAGGCGACACCGATGAGGCTGCACTGATGAGCCGACACCCCGATGGGGCAGCACTGTTTGGACTGCACTGATAGGTGGCCACACTGGCTTTCATGCCCCGAGGTAAGGCTGAGAGTCTCCCCAGAGCAGCAAATGTCACTGAGAGCCGCACAGGGGACACTTCCTGCCAGCTCCGCCTATGACCCGCCACTTTTAATAATGTACAGCCCCGAATCTCCCCTAACTCGCCCTTCGCATTCCCGCAGCTTACAGCGGTGCTCCTCCCTACTCCTCAGCCTCACACAGCAGTGACACCTGCAGGCTGCACAGCAATATTGCGCCTGGCTGTGCTCTCTTATGCTACACCACTGGGGCTGATAACAGCCTAAGCATCAGGCCATATTTTCTAGGCGACAAGGTGCCCGAGGCCTGTCGAGCCCTGCTTTAAAGTGAGGAGTGTGCCCTCCCCAACTTGAAGTACAGGGAAGCAGCACATAGGGACCAAGAGGCTGCAGTGGCAAAGACAACAAACTGAAAGGGTTTTTGCACTTTTCTTTAAAGTAGCATGTATTGCCATCAACTCAGTTGGTTAACAGAAATGTAATTATGTTAAAAAAGAAAAAAAAAGTGTGAACCTTTAGTACTACTCTAAAGTAATAGTAAAGGGGACATTTTTTTTTTTTTTTTTTTAAATAAAAAATTTGTTGCACAGAGCAGTTGCTTAGCTACACTTTTTCAGTCCCCTGCCAGCGCTGTCCAGATATAAAGTCGCTGATCGCTGCCACTACTAGTAAAAATATTTAAAAAAAAAAAAACGCACAGTATATATTCCATTTGTAGTAACTATAACTTTCACGTAAACAAATTAATTTACACGTATTGGGATTTTTTTTTTTTTTTTTTTTAGCAAAGACATGTAGCAGAATACATTTTGGCTTAAATTTATGACGAAATTTGATTTTTAAAATTTTTTTTACTGGACATGTTTAATAGCAAAAAGTCAAAAATAATGTTTTATTTTTTAAAATTCTTATAGCGCTAACAATAAAAAAAGCTGCACAGGCGATCAAATAACATCAGAAGAAAGCTCAATTCGTGGGAAAAAAAAAAGGACATAAATTTCGGTGCAGCGCTGCATGACCGCGCAGTTTTCAGTTAAAATAACGCAGCGCCGTAATGCAAAAAATGGCATGGTCATGAAGGGGGGGGCGTAAATCCTCAAGCGTTGGTTCCGTGTTAGTATGTAAACAGAGATTGCACCATGCATGTGAGGTATCACCATGCATGTCAGATCGAGAGCAGTAATTGTAGCACTAGAACTCCTGTGTATATCTGAATTGGTGACCTGTAAAGGCTTCTAAAGCGTCACCTATAGATATTACAAATGTATGTACTTTGTCGCCATTGCACGGGCATGCGCAATTTTAAATTATGTCATGTTTGGTATCCATTTACTAGGCGCAACATCAACTTTTATATTTTGTCAAACAATTGGGCAATATATTTTTTTTTGTGCGTTAAAATTCTAAAAAGTGTATTTTTCCCAAAAGATGTGCATTTGAAAAAAAAAAAAAAAAAAAAAAAAAAAAAAAATCGCTGTGCAAATACAGTGTGATGTAAAAAATTTCAACACCCACCATTTTATTCTCTAGGGCCTCTGCGTTAAAAAAAATACATAATGCTTGGGGGTTCAAAGTAATTTTCTAGCAAAAAAAACTGTTTTTTCACGAACAAAAAGTGTCAGAAAAGGCTTGGTCTTCAAGAATGGGTGATGTGTGGCATACGCTTCTAATGTTGGCGCTGAAATGCCAGGATAGTAAAAGCAACCCCTCCAAATGACCCCCTTTTTGAAAAGTAGACACTCCAAGGCATTTTCTAAGAGGCATGGTGAGTATTTTTCAGATCTCATTTGTTACCACGTTTTTGGAAAACTAAGAAAGAAAACAAAAATGTATTTTTTTTCTTTTTCAAAACCCTGTGACAAAAATTATATCTGTAAACTACTCACCATGCCTCTTATCAAATTCCTTGGGGTGTCTATTTTCCAAAAAGGGGTCATTTGTGGGGGGTGTTTGTACTATCCTGACATTTTAGGGCCTCCGAAATTGTGGTAGGAAGTGATAAAAGGAAATATGCCCTTTGAAAGCCTGGAAGTGGTCATTGGATTTTGGGGGATTTTTGTATGCAGCTAGGTTACTAAAAAGTCTCTCACATGTGGTATTCCCATACTCGGGAGTAGAAGAACGCATTTTATTTGGGTGTTATTCCACATATACCCATGGCATGCATGTGTAATATATCATTTAAGTGACAACTTTGTGTAAAAAAAAAAAAAAGTGTCTTTTTCAAAAACATTGTGGCAAAAAATAAAATGTTCCATGGACTCATCGTGCCTCTGCAAAATCCTTGGGGTGTCTATTTTCCAAAAAGGGGTCATTGGGGGGGGGGGTTATGGGGGTTTGTACTGCCCTAGCACTTTAGCACCTCAAGAAATG